ATATATTTTTCCCATGTGGGAGTGTATTTTTTGGGCTTGAAATATGTAATTGGTAATTTAATAGCCAGCTAGTAATATTAGATGTCTTATCCCCTATCAGTCTGCTAAAGTAAGGGTATACTGTTTTGTAAAATGTGTTTAAATCCAGTTGGCCTGAGCCCTAGCATTTCTTTTGTGCATCAGTATGGATTAAGTTGTCTGTTTTTGAGCTGATGTGCAGCACTTTGCTAGTGCATACTTGAAACAATTCTGAATGCATGTTCTTCTGCAGAGACAGCAGATTCACGTTAATCTAAATGCAAGAATAAAGGGTTTGTGAAAGATTGCATTATTAAGAGACTCTTACTGATCTTTTGCGGTTACTGTCTCTGTAACCTCAACCTCCTCAGACAATGAAGAATAACCCTGTGATAATATGCCACAAGCACTATTAGGGAAGCAGTCTTGGTAGAACCGTTTAGGTAGGGATATTAAGTATTGTTTTTATAGAAGGTTTACTTGTAATGGCAAATTGGGAAGAGCAGAAAAGTATCTTGTCTGTGTGTTTCTACCCAACTGCGTCAGCTGGCATTTCCTTGATCCCTTTTGCTACCTGCGCATCTGTGCTTCCACATTTTTCAGCTAGCCCTTTGTAGCGGAGTGAAATCTCATCTTGGATGGTTCCAGCTGACTTCATCATTGATTGGATCCTTTTTGTTTTAAAAGAGGTTCTCACAGAACCTGCATAATGGGCTGTGCATGCAGCAAGGAACAGAAAAATACAAATCTAGGTGATGCAGTCTGTTCCTTTGAAGAGTGAGCTCCCTCGGGCGGCAGATACTGTTGCTGTTCTTGAATTTCTCTCCCCTGGGTGTGATGTCACCCGCGCCCAGCCCTTCGCACACAACACACCCCACCGCATGGAACAAAAATAGGCTGTTGTCCTCCATGAAAGCAGCCTAAGTCTGGGAAACCTGGGAATGGCTGCGTGCAAGAGGAATTCTGTGTTGTCTTTTCCTTACTGGAGTTAAGGAAGTTCTGCCGTAGTCTTGGCCTTCTTCTAAAACAAGCACAGCGTTTTATTTTACTCAGCATCTCGTGTCAATGTGCAACTAGTTTCACCTGCGGCTGCCAGGTTAGTGTTAACACTGGAACGTTGACCACAGCGTTTTCCATCAGACCAGTCTGAGTAGCGTTACAGCTGCGCACAAACGAAGGTTCACGTAAACAAGCTGCTGCAGTACCGTGCAGAAGTATTCTATGGTATCCCATTTTGTTAAATTTCAAAATGATACCCATACACATTTTTAAAATGTGCTATTTTATTCTAAACCCGAACGCTCAAAGTCCTTTGTGTGAGACTAACCACAGTAAATCACAGCAAAAACTTCCCAAAGTTTTCCTTCCCAGTGAGATCCACTGTTATGGCCCACAGACAGAGGCCACTCAACGAATTGTATTCTCATTAGGGCAATTTTTTGCACCTAAAACCATTTTTCTTTCATATTAATTACCTATATTTGTTTGTAGCTTTGAGTGGGGAGAGTTGTTGTGTACATAACCCATATTCATGGCTGCTTTAAAGGCACTGTATATGAGAAAGCAAATACGCTATATGAGGAAAGACCTGACCTATGGACTGCTGTTCTTTTGTTTTTGTGTCAATTCGAAGAGAAAAAAGTTGAGCTCTGTCTAGACTCGTTTTTCTCCTGGATTATTGACACGTTTACTCATTTGGAAATGGCTGCTTCATCCCTGAGCGACAAGTAGCTCTGTGGGTTAAAAACTCCTCTCGCTCGAGGCCGAAGCGCACACGACCGATGAAAGAGATGTCGCTAGGCAGTGGCCTGGGACCGTGCGAGCTGACTGCTGCAGAAACGGGAGATGGGTTGTGCAAGACTAGTTGTGTTGGCTGCAGAAGGCCGTGAGGAGAAATAAGTGAAACTCATTGACACGAGAGCATGTATACCAGCGGCCTTCTCTGTGTTCTGTGCCATTCGGTCCTCGTACCAGTGGAAAAAGCCAGCTGGTTTTCTGGCCGCGACATTCCCTGCGGGCGTTTGAGAGAGCGGCTCCCACCTGGTGCTGTAACGGACTGTGGAGTTATGCGCCTTGACCACAGAACTGCCGCCCTTCCCAGGCCCTGGTGCGTTGTAATGAGCTCTTCCTCATGCACACCTCTTCTCACTTTTTCCATCGCTTGCGTCACAAGCCTTTGCCCCATCTGGACAGAGCTCTCAACCCCGTTCAGCCCGGGGCGGGGTGGCGGGGGGGTGAAAATGATTTTGGAATGTTTCCAGGTCATTGGTGGCAGGGCTGTTGCGGGGCCTTTTATAGAATTTCAACCCTTTGGGCAGAAAGATGAAGTAATTGAGATTAGATTTTACCCTGGGGTTCCACAACATTGCTTGTAGCTACTTAATTGTATCTATTGGTTGAGCCTGTTTTGCTGTTTCGTGAGGTGCCAGTTTGTGTCCTTAAGGCACTGCACTCGCAAAGCTGTAATTGTCATTAAAGACATCGAGTTAAAACATCTGACCCCATTTTAATGATTTCATTTTTAAAATAGGTTTCTAATGCTTGTTAGTGCTGCAAGGGCACGTCGTTTAGCTTGGAGATAATAAAGGAGAGCAGGAATCCACAACTGTCTTGTGCCCCAAGTTGTCCTGTGCTTGTGTTTTAGTGCTGTGTATTGGAGATTAAAAAGAGCAGGGACTCGAGAGATGTGTCTGAATGAAACGGGTCATTTCGTTGTAAAACGTGCCCAGTATTTCTTGAGTTGGTTCATTAGGCTATAGTATTTGGCTCTCTGTTGCCTTCATCTGTCTGTTCTCTGTTCTTCCTGAATTCCTCTTTGCAAACAAATCCTGTAGCAAAAGCTGAACTGCCGATTCAGTTCACCACGTAGAAGGCCTTCGCCCCTGCTCTCATGCGAGGAGGAAGGATTCTGGCTCGTGAGCTCGTGCTTACCTAGAAGAGGAAAGAATGGCACCGAAAATAGAATCCACCTGCGCACGTCGTGCTCGCTCTGCCTTCTGCTTGTGCTCTTATTCCTCTGGAAAACGGCAACGCGATGAGGGAGGTCTTCCGGCAGATCCCAGAACAGAACAGTTCAGGCGTGCTGTTCTATCAGCTCCCCCTCCTTTTTCCCTGATAACTTTTGGTTCTGCACAGGGAAAGAAATGTGGATATTTTTTTCCATGGGTCGCCTGTTTGGACACCAGTTTCTTTGCCCGCCTCAGAATGTTTAGTTATTTAACCAGACTAAACATCGCAGACTAAACCGTGCTGGTAAAATAATGTAAATATTGTATAAAATGGGCCACAAGTAGCTTTTACCTTCCCGGACCACTGAAGTCCAGGAGTACTGCAGGCTGTTTTTGGACCGTACTGAATGTTTATGCATCTGGGGACAGCGACATTGTGAAGTTGCTTTTCAGTGATTTCCAGCAGCAGATGCAATTAACTGCTCAGTGCATGATGCTCAGTGTTGCAGTTTAATTCCGTTGGCTGGGCTTGGAAAGGTGGGCTCTTTAGAGTGAGCACGTGTCAAATTCAGTACTTTGCTATCAGATGGACGCTGACCTTCTTTCTCCTTGCTGCCTAGTTGGAAAAATCTCTTTTCCGTATTCCACCTGAGGCAGCTTTTTTCTCCTTTCCTGTTGTTTGAAGGTTAATTTAGGAGATTGCAGACGTGATACAGAGGTTGGTGCCCACCTGGTTATGAAGTAAGAAGTAACAGTCCAGTAAACTTGCTGAGTTCTGTCACCGATGTGCATTTACAGCC